TCCCTGCCAGATACACGATGGACGGGTGGCAGAAATGGAGAATCATGTGCCTGGCGGGACTGTCGATCGAGGACACTGAAGATATCTACCTATTCGGAACCATGATAACAGGGTTCTTGCTGATCGGAGCTGGCTTGGCCCTGGCTTATCGAAGAATTAAGCCAGGGCCAAGGCTGCCCGCTGGGATTGAAACGATGGGACGAGGCATGAGTTCTCAGAATGGGCTCATTGAGTGCAGCACGGATAAGATCTTGAACTCTGGACACACACACACACACACACATACACATACACTGATACGCACTCACTCATCCCCCCTCCCTTTCCAAACGCCTTCGATGCTTGTTCCCTTCTGGAGAACACGGCGGGTCTGAGCCCGCGCTGGAATAATAGCGCAGGGCAGGATTGCTGCTGTGTTTGCTTCAGATTACTCCTCACCCCCTACCCAACCCTGTTGCTTGTCACGTGCTCCATAATGTTGTGCTGTGGACATTTATGTGCTTCTGTGCAGAGGAGTTTTTTGGTTTCCTGTTCTCATGCTGTCCTCTCATAGGAGCATTATGGGGGAAGGGGGGGGGGGTGTTAAACTCTAGGAGCAGCACCTTTCCTTAAAGTTGTGAAAATTCCAACCAGTAAAAGACTATTTGACTGCAACCTTTCAGCACCAAAACAATTCCATGGCTCCCCGGCAGCCATTTTGGTAATTCCTTTGCGCAGTTATTGTGGGCTACGAAGACCGGCTTAGACTAAGTGAATTAGATAACCATAAATGAACACTAGGGCACAAAGTCAAATCTGATTTTTACAAAGCCACATAAATGCCTTGGTGGTTTCCCCCAAACATGCATTAAAATCTAACCACGTACACTGTGAATGAGGCCAACGCAGTCTTGAGTCTCTCAGTGCAGAACATTACCCATCTTCTATTAAGTTATGAAAACAATCATATGCAGCATTTTTCCACTGGCATTTGTTTGATCTCGACGCAGACTCCCTTATTAATAAAACATCTACCTTTTGTCACCATCAGTCAGAAGGGAGCCATTTTGCATCACAGCCAGTTCTGTTAATGCTAATTCGAGAG